ATTATTTGTTCCTGCAGGTTTAAAACCAGGACAACGTAAGGTTTTATTTACTTGCTTTAAGAGGAATGATAAGCGTGATATTAAAGTGGCTCAGTTAGCTGGTTCTGTTGCTGAGCATTCTGCTTATCATCACGGAGAGGTAAATCTTGTACTTATTGTATTTCTTAATTTATCATTGCATGTAGCAAAGTCTTATGGCTACTATTATCAACTTGGCACAAGACTTTGTTGGGAGCAACAATATAAATATCCTTCAGCCCATTGGACAGTTTGGTACTAGATTACATGGTGGCAAAGATGCTGCTAGTCCAAGGTTTATACATATTGGAAAAGTGTTAAATTTATTTTTTATTTGTTATCAGATATATATTTACTATGTTAAGTCCATTGGCAAGGCACCTGTTTCCTGCTTGTGATGATGTTTTATTGGATCATTTGTACGATGACAACCAGTGCATTGAACCAGAGTGGTATTGTCCTATAATTCCTATGGTACTCGTGAATGGAGCTGAAGGTATTGGAACTGGATACTCAACTAGTGTTCCAAATTATAATCCACGAGAGATAGTTGCTAATATAAAGAGAATGCTCAATGGAATGGAGCCTGAAGGAATGGTAGAGATTAAATGTTTAGTAAATTTATTTATTCTTTTTTTTCTTTTTTAGAAACCTTGGTATAAGAATTTTTGTGGTACTATTGCTCCTGTTGAACCTCACAAATACATGGTGTTTGGTCAGGTTGGGTTGCTGGGCTCTAATTCATTTGAAATAACTGAATTACCAATAAAGACCTGGACACAAACATATAAAGAGAATGTCTTGGAAGGACTGCTGTATGGCAATGATAAGACCTCACCCTTTATTTCGTATGTTAAGTTTGTAATAAATGAACTGTGTCAATAATGTCTGTACTGTAGTGATTACAAGGAGTATCATACTGATGTCACTGTCAGATTTGTTGTTACTCTTTCTCCTGAGAAAATGGAAGAAGCTCAATCTGCAGGCATACACAAGAAGTTTAAACTAGTCAGCAACATTAGTACTGGCAATATGGTATGCAATCAGAGCCTTAGTTTAGTTGTATTTTATAATTTAAAACTCTCGTGTACTTAATTGTTAGATCCTTTTTGATTCCAATGGCTGTTTGAAGAAGTACTATGGGGAGATTGAAATTCTTAAAGAGTTTTATGATGTACGTCTGGCCTTATATCACAAAAGGAAGGAATATTTGGTTGGAAAGCTTACTGCTGAATCTCTGCGTTTACAAAATCAAGCGCGTTTCATAACTGAAATAATTGAAAGGAAACTTATAATTGGTAAGGATTTTTTGTTTTGTCTGTTCATAACGTTTTGTTTCTACAGAAAGGAAAAGCAAGAACACTGTGATATCAGAGTTAGAGTCAAAGGGATATGATAGTGATCCTGTTAAAGCATGGAAGAAGAGCGTATCTGATCAGCCAACAGTAGAAGAGGAAGATATTGAGAACACTGACAATGGACTAGACTATAACTACCTCCTGTCTATGCAGTTTTGGAGTGTGACAAAAGAGAAAGCAGAAGAGTTATTGCAAACAAGAGATAAGAAGGTACATGTGATAGTTTTACTGAGGCAATACATTTAAGGCCGCTATTAATTTTGTGCGTTTTTATTATTTTAGCATTTCTGCTGTATTTGGATTTTAAAGTTTTTTTGAGCTATAATTTATAGGCAATTTTATTGTACATGTAGGTTGAAGAGCTAGAAGAGCTCAAAGGAAAATCAGCAACAGATTTATGGAAAATAGATTTGGACAGCTTCCTTACATGTTTAGATGTGAGTCTTTTATTTACATTTATATAGTATATATGTGATGTTGTACTGTATGAAATGATAGGAAGTTGAGGAAAGAGAACGTCAGGAAGAGTCAGCAGGTGCAGCTATTGTTGTTAAGAAGAAAGGTAAAGGAAGACAAACAAAATTGGCAGGTAATGTCTTTTTGATTGTCATTGCTTTTATTTTCCTTCTTTTATTTCACAATTACTGTATTATGAAATTTAAGGCTCAACTACAAAAGGTTCTGCTTCAGCTGCAGTAACTAAACCATCAGCTTTTGCAGAGGTTGTGACGCCTGAAATACCAGAGTTTTGCGCTGAAAAAGTAAAAAAGGAGAGAGCAACAAAGTCCCGAAAAGCTAAGGCTGATGACCCTGGTCAGACAAAGTTGCCGTTTAATTCCGTTGAAGAAATGACTACAAATGAAACTGGAACTGAAACTGTTAAAGATGCAAAAGTCAAGGATGAGAAAGAGAAATCTGCAAAGGACTCTCACACTTCCAAGAAAGAACCATCACCAACTGATGCATCACAAACAACTTTGAAGTTTCGTGCCGAGAGTAAGAAAAGAGTTTATCACTTCAGCAGTGACAGCAGTGAAGATGATGCTGTGTCTGATCACCACAGTGATGATATTTTCATTGTCAGTCCAACAAAGAAAACAACTAAAACAACAAAAACTAAAAAACAGGCTGTAGTTGATGAAGTTCCTACTAAGAAACCTGCTGTCAGTAAAACGAAAAAACAGCTTTCAGTGAAAGTCACTTCAGTAAAAAATGACACAAACATTAAGAAACCAGTGACTAAAGGTGCAACTGGTAAAGTAAAAGCTAAGGAGACAGAGATTGACGATGATATTTGTATCATTGATGAAGGGTCTCCTGTCAAGAAAAACACTAAGGCAAAGTCAACCAAGGCAAAGGCCCCAAAGAGGAAAGTATCGGACTCTGAGAGCGATACTGAAGTGAATGTAGTTCCTGTAGTTGAATCACCAGTGCGTTCCAAGCGTTCTGGTAAGAAAGTCAAGTACTACTTCAGCGATGATGATGATGATGATGACAATGACAGTGATTTTGATCAGTAGACTCCAATAATATCACATTATTGTATGGGCACATTATAGAAATACGTGATACTTATTATAGTTTATTTAATAATAAAACTCCTTATTTTAGAATAATAACTAAAAATAATAATGGTCCTACAACTCATCATGATCAACAAAGGAGTATCGTGAATTTGCAGGTTTAAGTTTTTTAAATGTGCTTTCAGGTGGCTGCTGGGTATCTCCACTGTCTCTCTTCTGTTCCTCTTTTGGTGGTTGATGAGGCTAATATTGAAAGTGGAATTTTGAAGTTAAATGTGAGAGTATTGAGTCAAAACTTACATCTGGTCCGTGGTGAAATTCCTGATGAAATTTCCCACTACTCTAATATCTATTTACTCATCTATTTTCATTTCCTCTAATATCTGTGATGTGACGGCCAGTAATAGCTGCACCCCCCCTCCTCCTTTGATTACATCTGTGCAAGAACCTACCTATTCTTTCGTAATGAATTGCAACCTATTCGTTCATAATAAAGATATATTTACAATTATAATGCACTCACTTCGCCATTTCATGTTCTTAATCATCTATGTCTTAATCGTAGAGTAGAGCCTATTTGGCAACTCCACTTGATTTGTTGTGCTGTGAAACTCAAGTATGTAAGATTTTTGTATGTGTATGCAATGCATCATGTGATAATGTCAATTCCTTTACCTTCATAAAAAAAGAGGATTCTCTCTCTTTTCACTTTAGCAGCAGTTACATGTATCTTACTAATAAGACCTGCATTTGACTCAAAAACTTCAATCCACCCAGTTAAAAAACTAATAAACATGACTACCTGCTGCACAGTTAGCTACAGGTAGCAAATGCTTGTCCTCTGTCTCAGATAGCTCTGTCTCAGATAGCTATACCACTCTTTCCTAACAAAGGTAAAGATATTGCATCTTTAAAATAAGTTCACTGAGATCTTAGTCTTGCTCTTAGTATTTGTTTGCATGCAATGTGTATTCAAACTCCTAGTTATCTATAAAATGTGATACTAACATGAAGAAGTTTGCAACTCATGACAGTTTTACTAAGCAAAGAGAAAATGATATTAAGTTTATTAGTTTTTTAACTGGATACATTCAAGTTTTTGAGTCAATTGCAGGTATTGTTATAATTAGTGAGACAACGTACTGCTGCTTAGAAGATGGCATCCATCAGAATTTTCAGTTGATCCAACAGAAGAAGTTATTCTAGACACATATAGTCCCTTAGATTTTAAAAAGAAAGTGAATGTATAATAAAATAATGTTGTGAGACTCTTTCCTTTAGCTTTCAGAGTTAAGTGGAGTTACTGTTGATGCCATTTCTGTTGCAACAGTTAGCCATTGACATTTTACTATCAGCCAGTTATTTTTCCTCTTTAAAGTATTTGAGATCATTTCCAGCTGAGATATCACGTCTTGATATTGCGAATGAGTTGCAATGGAATCAAGCATCACTGTATGATGCTGATGGAGATGTCATTTATTACAAGTACACTTTAATAAATTTGCTCTAGTACTATATACTGTTATTTTTAGAGACAATAGAGAAGAATTGAAGATCACAACTGAAGACAGAGAAGAAATTAAAATGACAGAAAGCAAAAGGTCTGTTGCATAAGACCAATACTGCCATAACCTATAAGTTGTCTTGCATTCTGCATATGGCTTTATGTGCATGTTCATCTTTAGGATTTATGTGTTACTGTATATGGTACATGTATTGGGTCGTTGTCATGAGTGCATGATAGTGACGGTTGAGTACATTTAGTGGCAAAATGTGTATGTGTGGCTTGTATGCTGTCTCCCCTCTTCAGCTATTGGTGATTATTATTTTAGATCCAATTGTAATTACATTGTCTTTTTGTGCTTTTTAGTTTTATTATCGTCATCATCATTATTATTATTGTTGTTGTTGTGTATAAAAATGATGTACATTTGATCAAATAAAAATGACTCGATGTCTATATCATTTTAGCAAAAGATGAACAACATTTTCAAAAGCGTATAACTCCAAAAATTAATGGCAAATTTGCCCAAACTTTCTGCATAGTATAAGTACATCAATATGTAAAAAAATGTAATGAAAATTGGGGGTAATTAATTTATGAGCCATTTTTTTAAACCATGGGCAATGTACAGGAATTTTTTCAGATACTGGCCCATTTTTAAAAATTGTCATAACTCGAACAATTTAAGTTGGAATCTGCTCAAACCATCTGTATGTCTTAAGTACATCAATATGTATTACAAAATGTAATAAAAATTAGGGGTGATTTTTGAGCCATTTTTTGGGAAAGAACATGGGCTTTTGAACATAATTTTGAAACATCATGACCATGGACCATGATGTTTTGAAATACTAATTAATTAATCCTATTCAGTCTCAAGGTGTAGCCTTGAGACTAAATATGTGAGAGGAGAGAGTCACCTCAGGTATCATGTACTGACAGTCATTGAGGAGAAAGAGATTGATTCAAACTTGAGCCTAAACTACATAAAAAGCCAAGAATTTTACTCTGAATCATGACTGATATCAATCAGGATCAGCCTTGATACATTCCTGTATCATGAATTTTAGGCAGCCTGCGTCTAGTAATACAATCATGATAACCATCCATGATACAACCATGCTGGAGTAAGGCCCTGGTTCAGCCAGAGCAACAGACATGATTCAACATTGATGCCAGTCAGGGCTGTATCAAAATACCGTATAGCGGAAAATTTTCGTGGCCCAAAATTTTCGTGGATCCGTCCAAAAATCAATTTCGTGGCTTTAATTTTCGTGGTTTTCTACGGGCGTTACTAGAATGCGGATCAGTGCGGATTGCTGCGGATCGTTCCGCACGCTGAACCAAGC